TGGCTAACTAACAGATTGCACCCTGAAACAACCTCTGGGCTGATCTAAGTCAGGGCATGGCTAACTAACAGATTGAACCCTGAAACAAACTCTGGGCTGATCTAAGTCAGGGCACAGGTAACTCACAGATCGCAACCTGAAACAACCTCTAGGCTGATCTAAGTCAGGGCACGGCTAACTCACAGATAGAACCCTGAAACAACCTCCGGGCTGATCTAAGTCAGGGCACGGGTAACTCACAGATCGCAACCTGGAACAACCTCTAGGCTGATCTAAGTCCGGCTTCTTAGGTTAGGGGGATTAAAACCGGAGAATTCGGACTTGCAAAAACCCACGAATCAAGGGCGAGACGTTACAAGTTCTAATCACACGATGATACTTAAGTCTAGGAAAAGACTCGGCTGATGGTAAGAGATAAAGAGCGACAAACGTCACGTAACACTATACGATGATAAAATCGATGATTCGTCAATGAATGTCGCAAGGATCAATGGGAAAGCGGTTCCTTCGAAAATGTTTGACTCCTACATATAATTGCTTGTTTTTCCTTTCTTATTTCCCTTCAGTCCATCTTTCTCTTCGCAGTTAATGTTCCGCATCCTTCCTTCCTTCTGTTCGTTTGTCTCTCTCTCTCTCTCTCTCTCTCTCTCTCTCNTCTCTCTCTCTCTCTCTCTCTCTCTCTCTCTCTCTCTCTCTTTCCTCCTTTCTTTGACTCACTTATTCATTCTTTTATATTCTTTCTTTCCTCCCATCCTTTCTTTACTCCCTTGTGTTTCATCTGTATTTTCCATCTAACGTTCCGTTCAACGATTTCATTGAGTGGGCTTCCTGTGTTTTGACATGGAAAACAAAGGCCAATACACCCTTTTAATAGAAACCTAATATAATCCTAATAAAACACGTGCTAGCGAAGCACGTTTCACAAAGGCTATAAACCTTTTCAATTTTTCTTTCTTTGACGATTGTTTGGTGGAATTCGCTAGTTTTGTTGTTCCTAATCCCGTAACAAAAGCGCCGTTAATCCATAGCTAAGTGTCTAAGCAACTTCTAAAAAATCTCTAAACATTTTGCAGTTTTGCTCAAATTCAATGAAAATTTCTGAACCTATTATAAAGTCTTGTCCTAATTTCCAAAATTTACCTGAAAGTTCCAGGACATTTTAAACTGTGTTAAGAAATAGTCGCCTGGAGTGAAGTATTGTTTAAAATCACTGAGACAAAGAATGGGTGACTTTAGGTTATTTGATTGGATAGAATAGAAGAGGTTCTCTACGTCATTCAAGGAAACAAGTATGCAAGAATGTAAAGATTGCGCTTTTGTATATAAACAAGAATCGATAATCAGCCCGGTTTGTCAGCACGAGTGAAAACTTTGGCAAATATTTGAATAACGTTGCGAAGGCCCGTGAAAGATGGGTTAACTCCAATATGGACGACGCAAGAGGAGCACAAAGTGTCTTGGTCGTAAAGGATATTTTTCAATCCTGGGACACAAACAAAAGTGGTTTCATAGAGAAAAGGGAACTAGAAAAATGTTGTGAGGATTTAAAACTATCGACTTCAGAGTTAGAGCGAGTGTTCATCGAACTCGACGTGGACAGAGACGGGAGAATTAGTCTAAGCGACTTCTACCAAAGTTTCGAGAAAGTTTGCAAGCTCTTTCACGTAAGCCGTGACACTGTACTATACCAAGAAGTTTCTGAAAAGATGAAGTTTGAACAACTTCTAGAAGCGATTGGGTTTCAAGAACACCTTACTGGGTAAAGTCTTGTTGTCATTGTTTGTTTAACTTTCGTAAATCACTCAAAATTACAAGATATCTGACAGATTTTTTAATATTTTTGAACTACAAACTCTAATATCGTTTCAACTTTTTCTATGTTCAATTTCCACCTCTCTAAAGAGAGAGATTTTTTAGTGCTTTTATTTTATCATATTAAACATTAATTAAATAATTATAAAATATTCCATAACAGCCCACACGGAGATTAAGTTCAGAATTCCACTGAGAAAACAAATTAGGGTTTGTAGATACGTGACAGCRTTAATATTCTGACATTTTGTCATAGAGATCTAGTTCCCGAATTTCAATACATTATCGGGTCACTCAGGATAACGACAGTTTGTAACCCTCGAATTTCAATATACCTCATACTGTTAATTCAAACTGAGTATGTAAAATGAGTGGCTCGAAAACCGTGTTATCAGCACAAGAAGAGATTCTTAGCGAGCTAAAAAGATCAAAAATAAGGTATCTTATATGAAACATGAATCATAAATAAATATCACGTGCTGTGTGTTATAATTTTGTTAACAGAAAGTTATCAATCCGGAACGTTGATATAAGTGTTTATAGCCAGAAGGGAAAAAATTGTGCAATAAAAATGTTAACTGTGTGGGCAAATATATTGTATTTGGATTCTCAAAAAATTTAACGATTTAAATGGATTGTTTTGCTGTTGTTTATTGATGAATTATAAAAAAGAAATGCTAGTTTAGGTTGTCAGATAAGTGCCTTCGTTTATATATTGTGCCAATATCACACCATAATAATTATATCATATTATATCAAAATAAATAAAACCTTGAACAGGAAATGTAGAAAATAATCCTTTAAAATAGGCATGAATTTTAATTTGGATTTTCAGGATGTATGTTTATATATAATTAGTGCACTATTTGAAGTCTTTTATATAGATAATAATAAGACAAATAATAAGTATAGAAAAGCAATATTAATGCATACTGAGCCATAATAATACAATATAATAAAGGTCACGTAAGGCTCTAGAATAGATTTAGAAACCATTAAAAATCATTAAAACTAAAAACCTAGGTATCTTGTTCTATGTTAAAATATTTCTTCGAACAGATTTTGACTATTTGCATGGACGGAAATTTTCATACTTTTTTACTCTCATGAATATAATTTTGCTAATTTGCTAGATTAAAATTTTTCAATAAATTGAATATCAAATATCCTTATATTGATCAGAAGAAAACAGGAAAAGCTAGTGGGGGCAATAGTTAAAATACCATTGTTTTAAACAAAATATCCTCATTTTAGAATGTTAATATTGGGCACACCAATATTTTATATTCATATGTTGCATTAATATCTTTGGTAAAAGTTTCACAAGAAAATTAATATTCAATTTCAGTTCCTAATTTAATTCATCTATGCCTCACAAAACTATTTTCCTTGTGGATCATACAGTATATTAGCCTGGAGGCTGCACAGTGTTGTCAGAATGAAATAAAAACTGGGGCAAAATGCTTCAAATCTACCCTAAAAAATTAATTGAGGGGGGGGGGGGGGGGGGGGGAAGGGGACTGAGCCCCCCAAAAAAACATAAGTTGCGGTGGTGGGCTCTTTCGTATCCAATCCACAAACTTTCATAATATGCATTTTAGGTCATGATTACYATTCTATTGTGTTTTTTCATGTGGTTAATTATTGATCATTAACAAAATGAAAATGTAAAATAAATATTGATAATTATATACTAGATAAGACTTAAACTAATATCTACTGTTTTGACTTGTCTTTCAGCCATGAGTATGTGACGGAGCTGTTTCATCATATTCACAGTGCAGGTGACTCACCCCAGCTGCTATCGCTCCTGGAGAGCTTCTTATTCAGTGTTGTCAGGGACATCAAGAACTATGAGTCGGAAAACCAGAGATTGGAAGAAGCACTCAAAAGGTATTGGTATAATCAATCAGATTGGTTGATAAACAAGGTGGTGTGGATTAGAATACTAGTGCCAATGGGGGAGGAGTGGTTTGTGCACTCGTCTCTCATCACTGGGGACAATCAGGTTCAATTTCTGGAGGATCTCAGGATTTCAGGATTTGATCTTGAGTTAGCCATGAACTGAGTTAGATCATCAGCACAGATCAAGGTTGTTTCAGGGTTCTATCTGTGAGTTAGCCATGCCCTTGCATAGATCAGCCCAGAGGTTGTTTCAGGGTGTGATATGTGAGTTATAACCATGCCCTGACATAGATCAGCCTAGAGGTTGTTTAAGGGTTGATCTGTGAGTTAGCCGTGAACTGAGTTAGATCATCAGCACAGATCAAAGTTGTTTCAGGGTTTGATCTGTAAGTTAGCCATGCCCTTGCATAGATCAGCCTAGAGGTTGTTTCAGGGTTTGATCTGTGAGTTAGCCATGCCCTGACATAGATCAGCCCAGAGGTTGTTTCAGGGTTCAATCTGTGAGTTAGCCATGCCCTGACTTAGATCAGCCCAGAGGTTGTTTCATGGTTTGATCTATGAGTTATACATACCCTGACTTAGATCTCTCCACAGGAGAGGTTTGAATTGTATCTAGAAATTCAAAATTTAGAATAATGTATGGTCCTTGTTTTAATATTAACCCATTAATTTCCCTTCTGAACAGAACATGCGAGAAGCATGCAGAACATATGGAAAACCTTGACGAAGAACTAGAACAGCAGTTGTCTAAAGTGGAGCACCGCATTAAAAAAGAGGTATATTGCTGCAATGGCATAGTGGTGCTAACACATGATGCAACATTGCAGGCAATGTTGAATGAAAAAGGCTGTTTGTTAAGTCGGTCCATTTAAGTTGGAACGATCATGTTTAAACCTATTGTCTTCCTACTTATAGGAAAAAAGTAAATATGAAAGATCTAACATGGATGTTATCTGGCAAATGGAAAACAAGAATAAGGAGATTCAAGCTCTACAAGCAAAAGTTCAAAAAGTAAATAACCTTAAAATATATACCACATGAATCCCTATCGCATCTTTATCAACTTTACTTACATTTTTAGCTAACTTATTGACTTCAAATTTAACCTGATCTCTTCAAGAACTATTATAAACTATTTTTCCACTCACCTTTTTCCTTATTACGAAGATCTGGATAGTTTTTCAGCACATTTTTTGGCCTACAAAATCCAGAAAATCCTCCAGTTCATAAACATCTTTCACGTGTGACAGAAATAAAGTTCATATTTCGTAACGTGAAATATGATTGGCTAATCATTACGTTGAATTTGATTGGTTAGTTTCGTCGACATCAAAATGAATCATGTCAGTCTGGCGGGAAATAATAATTGTCCTATATTTTATGTACTCTAGCTTGAAAGTAAAATTAAAAGGAAAGAGCCTGAAGAACAGAAATTAAAAGAAGAGATTGATGAGCGAGTACAGGTAAGATCTAGCCAAATTTCATTAGGCACCGTTTACATGAAGGTATTGTGACCCTTGCAAGCAAAAAAACGTTTTCTTTTCAAAGTAAAAATTAAAAACCAAAGAGTAGTCACAGAAGTAGAGTCACCCTACCTGCATGATGTAGACAGGGCCTTAGAGATGTGAACCGATGCTGTTCCAAATATTTACGGTTTTTTTCTCCATCCGTATCACATTTTTCTGGAGGTTGAGAAAATGGAAAAATGAGAATGGGATATGTTAAAGAAGAGGGAAATTGAGAGAGTCTATATATTAATCCTCCTAATGCTTTGACACATTTTCTTCGCAGGAAATACGATATCTTCGAAGCCAAGTAACCGACGCCCAAACCAATACGGCTGTGTTACGAAGTGAGCTCGCTCAACTAAGAAATGATTATGAGGACCAAACAGTTCACCTCGAAAAGTAAGGGTTCTAGAGATTTTACATCATCACGTGACGGCAGCCATGTTAGATGGCAGGAACAATTCAATCGTTTTACATGAAAAAGAATTCGTTTCCCAATAGCAAAAGGACTTTATTGTTCTGCCATCTAACCACAGGCAGCCCAAGCTGAATTATGGGCGCTGGCACGTGATGGTGCAAAGGCTCTATATGGTTGCCATGTGCTGCTATATCGGCCCAGTGGAACGAATGAAAACCCAGAGTAGAATAAATGTTTGGAATGATGAAATTAAAACTATAATAAAAATAAACCTAACGGTTTAAATCGTTTCTTCGCAGCGAGAAACGAACAGTAATGGAGTGTGTTCAAGAACAGGAGAGTCTAACAAGACAGCTACAGCTTCTACAGTAAGTAGATAATAATTCCCTCCTGCTAAGAGGTAGCTCTTACAGCGCGCGCGCGCGTTACCCCATCATTGTTAGTCATCAAAATTACCATTGAAATGATTCGCAGAAAAGGATTTTTTTCGTACTTCTTTTTGTTATTTACACGTTGTTTTTTTATTCTCTTTTTCCAGTGAGGCAAACAAAAAACTTCACGACACGAATGATGACTTACGATCTGCACTCGAGGTACCATGAATCAGTTTCACATCTAGTAAAATGAATCTCTATTTTCTTGCTTTCAAAGCTTGCAGCATTCAGGTCTCGTTTAAAGATAGGATGAGATCGAGATTAATAATATAAAAAAGCTTGTGTGTCCAATACGATGGTTTCCAAATTCATTTATTTGGGTCACCCGACTGAGGTCACTTATTTGGGTTGCCTAACTGACGTCACTTATTTAATTTACCTGGATGACGACACTTATTTTGGTTACCTAACTGACGTCACTTATTTAATTTGCCTGGACGACGTCATATATTTGGGTGACCTGGCTGACGTCATTTGTTTGGGTTCACAGGCAAGGAGGACATCTGAGACAGGGAGAAGTCCCTCACCGAGTAAACGAAGCTCTATCACAACACTATATTCACCTGGACCCAAGTCGTACAAAAGAAGCAAATCAAGTATCAATAGGTAAATGAAAACCTCTCTTCACTCGTGGCCATTAGAGCAGATTTCGAATGATTGTGGAAAAAATGGCGTTTCAGGCGCGGCGTACCGTGATCGTGTCGGTACAGCATCCAAGCATTCTGTTATATTGCGCGCTTGATTGGTTTAAAGAATGCTGAAGATGTGCCCATGCTAGCTTATTTTGTTCCATGCATATTTCCTTACCTCTTTATATTTGTCCCATACGAGCGATGCTTACTTTCCATACGCACTAATGATAATTTTTGGGGGCTTTTTTATACCTTTAGTCGCTCACCATCGTCCATGAATGACGCTGATGACAGACTCTCAGCCTCTTTGGGAGCCACTCCCTTGAGGTCACCTCTGCATAGCTGTGCCAGCAGCAGAAGGAACTCTCTTCTCCCGGTACAACAGAGTTGCGAGGAGGACGATCCAGCATTGAATGAAGATTCTCTGATGAACGAGATTAGGGGGGTCAACCGACATCGCTCGGTAAGAATTTACTAATTTTTTATTTTTGTTATGTTTGAGCTATTTTAGTAAATATTAAAAATTTTGCTTAAATGATGGAAATTTTATTGATAATCTATTAGTCATAAACAGATTCTAAATCAAAAAATCTAAAGAATAAAGATAGGTGAATAAACCATTAAAAGATTAAAAAAGATAACAAAAGATAAAACCGGCCTGAAATTTTTAAAAAATTAAACCTAAAATTTTAGATTATTTCAAGCACTTGAAATTTTAGGACACTTTTTATGGAACGACCCGACTTTCAATTGCTATGCCTGTGTGCACATCATGCTTTCCACGATGCATTTGAACTTTGTAGCCTGCTTTGTAGCGTCCCTAGAGCGCCTTAATGCACGCTAGAACTTCGAGAATGTGCAAGCACCTTTTCTTGGGTTTAAGATATCGCGCGTGAGTTTGGCCAAGCGTTTATTTTTCTTGAGACGTTTGCGTGCGTGCCTATGCTTGCGTGATTTTCGTGCTTATCCTTGCGTGAGTTTTTGCGTGATTGGATTTGATTTGAGTTTCGCTTTTTGCTTTTTGCTTGACTGCGGCTCTGGCATTCACTTACGTTTGTCTGTACTCTTGGCGCTTGATGYCTGGTCATTGTCCATGCAGTGAAAGTCAGGATTAAAGGCGCGATTACACTGAAAAATGTTTCTCTGCAACTTACAAATTGTATGGAGCATTGCAGCTTGTAATGTATGGCGCAATTTGAAAAAAATTTGCGAGACAAATTGCAGCAATTGTTTGCGTCTCCGTTGCACCGTGTAAACACCTATGCAACTTGTGTCACAACGTTATTGCGAGACAAGTTGCAGAGAAAGTTGCTCAGTGTAATCGCGCCTCAAGTTTTCCATCAAAATGAATAATAAGAACATAAAAAATATACGTTACACTTCATAACCCGGATGAAATATGCTTCTTACGATAATTATATAATTGTCTGATTTTAAAATTTCTAATATTATGTGAGCTTTCAACTGCCCCAATTCCAGTAGCTTCATTTATTAAATAAATTAAATTTTGAAACAAAATAAAATATAAACAGGAACGTCCCCGAAATGGGGATCCAACTAACACTAAATACCGATAAAATAACGTGTACTAGGACTCCGAATCTGAGACTAATTCGGAAGTAAGCTCAGTCATCGAGCTTGATTACAACAACAATGCTGGAATACTTAACAACAAAGAAACAGGCCGAATCCATCACTTGGTTCCCCCCGCGCGTCAGTCGTGTGAAGTCGAAGAGACTGAGAACCAAGATCCTGCTATGATTGTCGATCCAGTCCTCGAGCGGTATACAAAAACGGTAGGGCTTGGGTCGGGCCTAGCTGAGACTAAAATGAATATGAAAAAGAAGTTTTTAGCATTTTTGTAGAAGATTGCGCAAACCTGAGTCAAGGTATTTTTATCGTAACTGTCTTGCTTAAACATTTTGAAAATTTTTGTAAGATTAAATAAAAAAAAGTTGATGCAGTAGTCCCTTTTGAAGGAAATATGTGCGCAGATTATTTATAGCATAAAAAATAAAGCGCAATAGCTCACAATGCTAAAAACTATTTTATCAAACAAACAAATAAACATAAATTGAATAAAAAAATCTAAATGAGAAATTAAAACTAAACCAATTAATAAACACAGACGAACGAAGACTCGACGCAGACAGAAACAACAGAGACAGCAGACGAGACAAACAGTGACCACCATAATGACACTAAGACAACTAAGGAATCGAAATCTGACAGCGACGCAGGGACTGGTAAAGACTCTTTCACTGACGTCACTGACACGTCAGACAGCGCGAAAAGTGATGATAAATTCCCTCGGACTAAAACCGGTTCGGCAAGGATTAGTACCAAGCTTGGCAAATATCTTGAGAAGTTAAAACAAGTAGCCAAGCCTAGTGATAAACACGATGAACAGGCGAAGGAAACGAGTGCGGGTAAAGTAAGTCAAGAGAAACCTGGCCAGGCACAGAAGAAAGGAACGGAAGGAATGGGAAAGAAAACGAAGGGAAGTAAAAAGGAAGGATCGCAAAACAGCAATGAAAAAATAGCAAGAGCAAAAAAAATACGCGAAYTTTCGAGAAAAGATCTTACTCAAAACACTCAGAAACGTGGGATTGAAAAAACTAATTTACGGAATAGCGGGACTAATAACGTTAAACGAACTAAAAACTCGTCGGTGACCTTTGCACCCATGGTTCCRAACACGAGACCAACACGTGGTCGTGCGCCTTCGGAGAAAAGTCGTAAGTTTCAGGACAGCGAGACGTCGGATACTGACAGTAGCGGAAGACTGGACTTGAAACTGGTAGGACGACCTGTGGGGGGATGTGACGTGACAAAATTTGTTGACTTCACTTAAACGTTTTTAAAACATTAAATAACTATTAAACTCTAAAATATAAACTTTAAAACAGTATAAAACATCTAAACGAATTTAAAGACTAAACCAAAACACATTAAACTAGTTGACCGAGTTAAAAAATAATAATTGGAACAAGCATTGAAATAAGAACGAGAAAAATGAGACTTAATTTGAGAGAATAAAAATCGAGAATTAAATGCAAAAGGAATATGAAATGAAAATTTGAAAAAAAAAGAAAAAAAAGAGTTTGGATATGAAAAAGCGAGAAAAAATTGAAAATGGAAAGTGTGATCATGAGAGGGAATAATTAGAAAAATATGCTAAACATAAGACGAAAATTTTGAGTTTAAAACCATGCATCGAAACTAGGATTTTAGACTCATAGACTGTCCATCGCCATTAAATCTTAGAGTTTACCTGACGGAACAGAAGAGGAAGACGAAGCGTACGGCACGTTACCGTCAAGTGAAAGAGAAAGTATGAGAATGCAACTCAACCTCTTAGCGTAAGTATTATCATGTTCATGTCATAGTCTTTAGCATAGGAAGCAATGGTACTTCGACGATACGGCGGCCATCTTGGATCGCAAGGCATTATGGGACATTCAATTAATGAACGTGTTATTATCTTCTAGAGAAACGAACAAACGACTGTGTGAAAGCAACAATGATTTAAGAGCTGCTCTAGAAGTAAGTTTACATAAATATGATGTAAAATTCCATATAATAATAATGATATTGCTTGTAACCACAAATCCGGCAATGCCCGCTATTTGGGAACCTCTTCCTACTTATTTCTCAGCCGTTATCTTTAAACATATCACGCGCGCAAAATATAGTAAAATCTCAATTATAACATTGCATTAACTTTTTGGATTGCCGTTCAGAAAAACTTGTTTTCTCTTGTTTCATCTGACTTATATTGCGTGTGTCTGAAAACGGTTATATTTCATATGCTTATAATTTTATCTAATTATTCTTATATCTTTCGTTTTTAGACTGTTAGCAAGCGAGTATCAAAAGTAAGTATTATAGTAGAAACATTGGCCTCCCTAGYGGTCTAAAAGCTAGGGATGGAGATRCGACAAGTCCTTCMCCACCCCCACCCTCACCCCAATCCCTTTTAGTCAGCTACGCAGGCTATTCTTACATGAAAGAAGGCAAAAATACAGAAGGAAATACAGTGTTGGGTTACGAATCTCCACTTCTAATTCGGATGACACTAACACAGCAGGACGACTTAAACCATCCCTCTTACGCAGTGCGTCATAGATAACTACGCWTATCAAATGAGTAGTTAAAGATTCTTATCTTTTGTGTTTTTTTTTTTAGCCAAGAAGTCGAGAAAAGTGTAAACGAAACCAAAGCTTCCATAGCGACTATGGTTCCATATCAAGTCGGAGTATAACACCTAACCAGTAAGTGTTTTGCGCGCAATTTTTTCGTCCTTGCGCGTCGACTTACTTTTCTCTAATAGTGTTCAGGTTTTTTCGGTAAAACAATTAGGGGAGAAGAGATAAAGAGCTACTGCTTTTATCTCGCCAAAATGGTTTCATTTCCGTTCTATCAATAGAAAAGAGGAAGCAGGAAATGGTTAAAAATAATCGACTTCCTCGCTCTTACGCAATGACATGGAAGTGTTGCTTGATTATAAAAGCGTATGATCAAACGTATCTAAGCTTTTTCTCAATTTTCCTTCATTCAAGTGACAGTTTCGAGGTTCTGGGAGATTGAGAGAGACGGGGGTGACGCGGCGTGGGAAAGAATGGGCTGTTAGGTAGGCGGCAAAGTTAGGGGTTATGTTATATCAGTAATTTTCCAGATACATATTCCTGGTACTCTATTTGATATTATCTTTCTGATTTATTATGTTTTCCGAATAARCCTCTTTATCTTGGACGTAAYRTTTTCCCGTTTCTGTCCGCGTGTCATTYTCTTGAGAATGAAATTCTTTGTTTGARTTGAATCCGTAWCCATGTGTCTTCTCATGTTCAACCGTTAAACAAATGAATGATACTCTAGGGAATGACACRTKGTCTGAAATGGKAAAACATTACGCCCAAGGTAAAGAGGTAATCTATTTTGATGACGGACGGATGAACTAAACATTTATTCCTGGATTTCCAGTTTACAGGGTCCCAAATCAGAGAATGATATAGCTGATGGTGCAGAAGATTTATCTGGCTATGAACCGGAATCCGACGGAAATAACACCAGTACATTGACGGTAAGAATACCCATAGAATGTGCCCCTTACCCATACCCTGCCACGCCCACAATTGACGTGAAATTGTGTTCACCATCTAGATATATGGCACATTACTTGCAATTAAAACGAAGAAATTAAGAAATTACCAGCACAAGAAACTAGGATAAACACTAARATATGTATCATAAAATGGTCATATAAATTAGAGAGTGCAAACACTCTGTCTGTGAAACAATACTACAAGACTTTCCACTATTTTTTATAAAACTCTAAACAAAAACTAAAGATTTAAAACCTAA